TATTATATCTCCTCTACTTCTATAATATAATAGCAAGCTACACTTTATTATACTAGTTATAGTAGTAGGTAATATAGTATTAAATTTCCTCTCTTATTTTATTTATATATTTATTAACTAAACTCCTAACCCCCTATAGATAGTTAACTTGCTAGAGACCTATCTACTACGCTACGTAGTTATAACACCTTACTATATATAATCCTCTCTAAACACCTAGCCTTATCTCCTATATAGGTATATAGTTAACTAGGGAAGGGTTAAAACTAGTAGGTAAAGGGCCTTTCTATATATTACGCTCTACTATCTAGACTATATATAGTTAATAATATCTATAAAGGTAACTATAAGAGGGGGTTATACTTAGTAGAGGGGGGATTAGGAGTAGAGTCTAGGTAGTACTAGTACGCCTTAATAGTAGGCGCGTATCTAGCTAGAGCATATCTAGCCTATAGGTAACCTTACTGCGTTAACTAGTAGCTATACCTTGCTATAGCAAGGGAGAAGCTAGTAGGGCGTATAGTAGCGCCTAGGACGCGCTCTAGCTAATTATATTAAGGGCGCAGGGGGAGAGCTATAGTAGAGGCAGGGGAAGGGGGCAATAATAACGCAGGAGTAGATAGCTATAGTTATAGTTATAGTTATAGGTGTAGTTATAGTTATAGGTATAGTTATAGTTTAATTAGCTATTAGGTCTATATATATAAAGTTACTATACTATTATCTAATAAAGGTAAGTAGGTAGTAAATATAACGCCTTAGAAGAGTGCTTATAGTGCCCTAACTAATATCCTACTTATATAGGTAGTAATACTTAATAGTTATATATACCCCTTCCTATCTATAACTCCTTCTCCTCCTTCTACTACTACTACTATAACTATAACTATAATAGTAGTAGTAGTAATAATAATATAACGCCCCTACCCCCCCCCTCTAATAACTTCTAGGCGTGGTGCCTTACCCACTACCTACTAATACCCTACCCCCTTACCTTCTACCCCTATAACGCCCCGCCTGCCTACACGCCTAAGAAGGGTAAGGTAATATTACTATAGTAGGCACGTTGCCTTACCTAAGGGGAGTTACGCTCTAGGCGCTACTACCTAATCTAATAGGTAGTTGCTACCTTAAGTACGCACTATTAAAGACCTCCCCCTTCTAAGTATATATATCTATTACTATATCTATAAACTATACTAATAGGTTATAGTAATAAATAGAAAGGCACCTAGAGTACTAGGTAGTAGCTAGAAGCTATAGGAGGTAAATATACTAGATAGTTACTTTTAATAAAATTAAGTTTAGTCCCTCTTATATTAGTACTAAGTTAAGTCTAAAGACTTAATCTCCTTATATTATAAGGTAACGTCTAGTCTATCTAATTGTATATACTACTTAAAAATAAACTTACTAATATCTATAAATATACCTAGATCTAATATAAGTATAGGGCCTATAGTAGTATTAGTATATAAAGGTATAATAATATATTACACGTTAAACTATATAATCTTCTATTCTAGTATTTTATAGCCCTTCTAGCAGATATCTAGTAAATTAAAGAGTATATCCTAGATAAGGTTAGATTGCTATACTACTTAACTATCTATAAGTAGTAACTATATAAGATAAAATATATTATCTACTATATTATTAGAGGTATACTTACTAGTTATATTTTTGCTAAATATCCTCTCTATCTACCTCTAGAGGTTGCCTATATACGCGCTATATAACACAGTCTACTAGAATACGTGTTTAATATTATATATAGAGTTTTTCTTATTATAGAGGTCTAGCTTATAACTACTATTAATATACTTTAGTACAAGATTAATTAGCTTAAACTTGCCTAGTAACCTAGTTATATTTACTAAACTAGAAGCTAAGATTAAGTATTAGAGGACGTTATTATTAACAGGGGATAGGTTCTAATAATAATATAGTATCTCTTTTGCGTAATTCTATTAGCTAGCGCTATAGAATATAATAGTAAGGGGGTCTATAAGGCGCTAGAGTATACTAATATTACCTGCTCTTATAGCGTGGCGTAGAGTAAGGAATAACTCTACCTCTTATAGGAGGTAATATATAGAATAGAAGTCCTTATTAGAATAAGGACTTTTCTACGCCTTATATAATAGAATAGACTAGCAGATATCCTTAACTATTTATATAAACTACTCTAGGGTTAATAGAGAGATAACTATATCTACTTCTTTAAAGCTACTAAACCTAGAGCTATCTACTATTAAGACTCCTATCTAGACTATATAATAGTAAAAGAGAGATATAATCTATACCTAGTATCCTTAGGTAATAATAGGGTCTATTAAGTAGAACTTTGCGTTATCCTAAGTACTTATTATACAGCCCTATTGTATTATATTAATTATAAGGTAGTAATCTAACTTTAACTAGCCCTTCTCTAGTACCTAATATATATAGATAATAGTGTTTAAAAGGTTTATCTATACGTAAAACTATACTAATATAGGCTATACCTATTATTACTAATTATAGGTATATTAAGCCTGCTAGCTTTTATATATAACTATATAGATATAGTTAATAGTAAGTTAGTTACTATATAGGAGGAATATCTACTTAAGGAAGATATTATTAGGTATAGGGTTATTATAGATCTTATAGCCTAACTAATCTAGAAATATATTATTATAAATAGTAAAGGTCCCTTCTATTAAGCTCTTATTATGTTTAATTCCTATAAACTAGACTATCTTAGTCTTATAAGGTAGTAGTATATTAATAGTAGGAAATATTAGCTCTAGGTTAAGATCTTGCTTAAATATACCACGTACAGCACTTAGATAGAGATATTATAAGGCGTCTATAATTAAAAACTGTAATATCTACACGCCTATATTATTACCCCTAGATACTACTAGGCTTAGAATAATATTAGTAAGAGATAGTAGGAGGGTTAGGTTATGCATACCTTAATATAGACTACTAACTAGAAGTTCTAGATATATAATATACGTAGTGTTAGTAAATAACTAGAAATACTACTTAATTTCTAACGTCTTTATAGCACTTATAATTAGCAAAGTTAATACTATTATAAATAATAACTACCTATAGATTTAATATACTAGCGCGTAATTTAGACTATACTATATATTAGTATATGCTATAGGTATACATTTATAGTTATAAAGAAGAGGAGGCAAGGCTTACTAGTAGGTAGGCTTATTAGTTAGCCTAGGAGGTTGCAGAAGTTTAGAGGAGGCAAGGCTTACTAGTAGGTAGGCTTATTAGTTAGCCTAGGAGGTTGCAGAAGTTTAGAGGAGGCAAGGCTTACTAGTAGGTAGGCTTATTAGTTAGCCTAGGAGGTTGCAGAAGTTTAGAGGAGGCAAGGCTTACTAGTAGGTAGGCTAGTTAGTTAGCCTAGGAGGTTATAGAAGTTTATAGAAGTTTAGAGGAGGTAAGGCTTAGTAGGCTTAGCTAGCCTAGGAAGTTTATAGAAGTTTATAGAAGTTTATAGAAGTTTATAGAAGTTTATAGAAGTTATAGAAGTTTATAAAAGTTTATAGGAGGTTATAGAAGACTAGTAGAGGCTAGTGCTACTAGTAGCTAGGGAATTATATAAGTTAAGAACCTAGCGTTATATATACTATAGTAAAGTTAGCTAGCCTTAAGGCTTAGGTGTTAATATACCTATATAAATATATAAGTCTAAGGCTAGATAATATCTCTATAACTTATTAAGGAACTCTAGAGGCTTAAAAATATAAACCTAAACACGTAATAAACATGTTAGAGCTCTCCTAGGTAAATAAATAGTATAGGATTATAGTAACTAAGAAGAGGCGCTTTATATATATAAGAGTTATATTACTAGCCTAGTATAAGGTTAAAAAGGTATATTAGTTTTATAGACACCTATAAAGTATATAGTATAAAATAGGAGCGTCTATCTTTATAAGATAAGTTATACTACTAAAGTTAAAATCCTCTACTAGGGTCCTAGTTATATATACTCTAAAGGGTAGTAACTAGATTAATATGCTTAATTCTTGCTAATACTATATAATAATAGGCTACTCTTTAAATATATCCTTATTATAGAGCTCTAAAAAGACGTCCTTTATAATCCTATATTGCTTCTTAATAGTATTATATTATTAACTAGTAGATATAACTAAGTATTTATTCTCCCTAATACTAGTAAATATAGCTATAAATATCTTAAATAACTACCCTATTTCTCTAAATAATAGGAGGACCTTATTTATCTTTGCATCTTTACTTATATAGTAAGTGTAGGAAGAGGATATAGGCTATCTATTAGAGGTAGATCTTTGCTATATATAATTAAGGGAGGTACGTTTAATAGGGGTGCTATAATAGCTCTAGTATAGTATACTAAATTAAGAGTATCCTTATAGTAGTACAAAGTTAACAAGTAACTAACTAGGCGTCTTACTATCTAGCCTAGGTCTAATAGGGGTAATAGGTATATTAAATATTATTAATTATATAGCGTTAGTAATATAATAATATGCTATTTCTAGACACGCTAAGTAATAGTATATAGTTATAGGGATAGCAAGAGGTAATAAAAGTTACACTATAGAAGATAGGCTATTAGATAGTGCTAGTAAGGTAGGAAAATAATATAGTTAAAGATATAATATATAGTATTAAAGGTAGAATCCTAGCTACTAATAAGTTAAAATCACGTATTACTAAACTAAGCCCTAGTTTCCCTTAGACGCTCTAGCTAAAATAGCTGTTCTACCCTCCTATTAGCCTAGAAGTTTTTAGAAGATAATTAAATATATTCCTACCCTCCTATTAGTTTAGAAGTTTGCATAAGTTTACTAGCGGCGCGCTTGCGTGCCACCAGGCCTAAATAGGATAGGCGGAACGCCAAATTTCAGTCAGAGCATCTGATTCATGAGATAAGTTAAAACTATCAGATACCTACTTGGAGATGCAGAGCTGCGACTGGATAGCATTGCGCGTCACGAATGGCTGATATGGCTTCACGAACCGCATTCGTGAGCGGACTGTTACCTGAGCTGGAGGCGGTACTTCACGCCTTTACACGGTCGTCGTCTGCCAGATTCCGCGTGGTGCAAACCGTGAATGCAACAGCGACGCAGCCCAAGACGCTATACATTCTCGATTCATCGTTCAATCCGCCTTCAGTCGCCCACTTGGCCCTCGTTACAGGCGCCCTCCGACAGCATGCACCTTTAGAACCCAGTCCTTGTAGAGTGCTACTCCTCTTCAGTACACACAATGCAGACAAGGCGCCGAGTCCCGCAAGCTTCGTGCAGCGCATCGCGCTCATGACCCTCTTCGCTCAAGACTTGTCACATAGCTTAAAGAGTACCGGTACCGGTATAGCTCCGCAGCTGGACACTGACACAGGCAATGTATCCATTGACATCGGCCTTACCAAAGAGCCATACTACAGTGATAAATCGGCCGCAATAGCAGAAAGCAAACCGTTGGTTTACACGTCGAACCCCAGTCATGTCCACCTTGTAGGCTACGATACGCTTATCCGCTTCTGCGATGCCAAATACTATCCAAACCACAACCCACCCCTCTCTGCGCTCAAGCCCTTTTTCGCCGCCAACCACAAGCTGCTCGTCACACAGCGGCCGTCAGATGCGAGGGACGCATCCTCTTCACGTTTCGGCACAATCGAAGAGCAGGACCAGTTTCTACGCAATCTCCGAGAGGGAGGATTGGAGGATCAGGGCTTTGATCCCGCATGGGCACGCAACATCATCATGACCAAGGCTGTGGGATCTGTCGGGGTGAGCTCTACCCGCATACGGAAAGCTGCGAGCGAGGGCAGATGGCATGAGGTGGGCGAGCTATGCACCAAAGGTGTGGCGGAGTGGATTGAGCATCAGAAATTGTATGCCGAAGCCGCGTCGGGGAAGAAGACACGGGTTGAGAAATTGCCAGACTCGAGTCTGGGGCTTCCGTACCGAAAACATAGCCTTGGTAGAAGCAAAGTTGCAGTCGGCCGTTACCTGTTTCTTCATGTTCACCTGCACACACCTAGAAGGAGGACATTGATGTATCGGATCCACAGTCTGTAAAATGCGAGGCAGTAACGGCTTGTGAGATCTGGTCGCTCTTGCTCATCTAGACGCACAGGCAGTCGCGGTCATACGCCACGATGCATCATCGTCGTCTTCTCACCTGACATAACCCCAGTTTCCCTTTTCTTTGCGAGCGTATTTGCTTTCCTTTGGAGAGCCATTCTTCTCTTTCTTTGGAGAGCCATTCTCCTCTTTGTTTGGAGAGCGTGCAGACTTTTTCATGTTTCCTACCTGGCCATTGGTGCTCTTGTTTCTCGGCCTGTAACGACTCTCCCATTTCTCTCTCACCGTCTCCGTTCGCCTTTACAATCGAATCTCCTCGCAGCAATGGCCTCGAAGTTATGCTGCATAGCAGAGGAGGATGAGGCTCGAGCCGACTCCCCTGAGTTACCAAACGCACGTGTCCCCCAGCCTACGCCTGCAAACCGTCCTCTTCTCCTACAAGCAGAAGGCTCCCCTACGTCCCACTTTACGAGTGCGCGCTCTGAGGATCTGCATGTGCTTCGCGAGTTATTCGACAGTGCTGAGGCCGGCTCTGACAAACGGGCCCTGCCCGCTCCCATACCTCGCCCACGTTTTGGCCGGCCGTCAATGCAGAGTCTTCGCAGTTTGCACAAGATGTCAAGTATGCGATCTATTATCAGGCGCAAATTCTCCAAAGAAGCGTCAGCCCATGACCTCACAGTTCCGGGTGCAGTGTCTCACAAGGCCGACGAGACCATCACCGAGGAGTCCAGCACGATGATTGTACAACCGAGAGAGGCCCCCAATGAACAGTTCAGAGTTGCAAAGAAGGAGCTCCGCAAACATCTTCTCAGTGACAAGAAGTCCGAACAGGGCGGATATGACTCGGACGCCGAGATGCTGGACGACATTGCCAACAGAATTGGCAAGAAGACAACAAGCAAACGATTGAGCGTACATAGCATCGAGTGGACACCGTCTATTGGAAGGTACTGTATTTCACGCAGACTGCCTAGTTTTACGCCTGCTAATGGTATGTAGCAAGCCTACACCATCTTCGTCTACCAAGGGTCGCATCAGCGCAGAGTCCAATTGTATCCTACCACCCTATGTGCAAAAGCCAATACCAATGTCTTTCTCAAATCGGGTTAGTCAAGTTCTAAGCACTCCCAATTTTCGATCAGATGCTCCCAGAGAAAAAGACCACAGGCTAAGACGCTCGCACTCGGCGACCTCCATGGGCCTGCCAAAGCCGTCACCAATTTCGCCATTGAGGCTGCCTAGTCTATCTACCTATGACGCTGACGGTGTGCCATGGTCCGAGGCTATGCACAAAAGTCTACGTCTCTCGCAATTTCCGGCTCCGCCACATCTTGCACATTCGAGACCAGGTGAGACAAAGCCAGACACTACCCATGGGTGGGACGAAAGCGGAAATTTCTTGGTCGTTGAAAAAGGTTCCGCTACAATTGTGAATTGTACAGATCTGAAACCATCCGCTGACAGCTCAGCCCACGCGGTAGAAATTCGTGTGCAACAGCCAACACTGACCGAAAGCCCTCGGCCATCAAGATCAGTTTGTGCTTCCGTGCGAGATAATATCATGTCCGGAGGAGTCACAGAGTATGGTCAAGGATCAAAAGATGGGGAGGAGGTGGAGAGTGAGGAGAATCCTCGCCGTTCTGTACACCTCTACAGCATGCGTATCTCGCATCATCTACGATCTGGTTCACTTCTGTCGTGGGATCAGCTTGTTGACGCCCCAGAGCTCCCTACTACGCATTCCCCGCTTCAGCAACGCACTGTTCCAGTCCAGAGTCGCCATACACTCAGCCATAGGCAAATCCCTCGGCACGACCGTCAAACTTCTAGCTCCGGCTTTGCAAGTAACAAAGTACCCAGTAAGTGGGGAAAAGTCATTCCTATCAATCGAGACGACCGGCCGGACGCAGCGTCCTCGCTATACTTAAGTAGACCGCAGAGTCCGCCAGGAAGTCTTGGTGGATCCTTAATCAACCTTCCGCAAAGTGCATGCCACCACCGTACCTTCAGTGCCTCGGCATTCGATAACAAAACTTGTCGACGTTCACAATCTTGCCCATCTACTGACGAGGCAATGCATACCGACAGGGCAAGCCGGCGACCTGTTCTACAACATTCCGTGGATGACACTACATGCGCTCGCGCACCAAGTGCTGAGAATTCCAAGTTTGCAACAATTATGCCGTTGGCGCGCAAAAACAGCGTTGCAGATACGAAGACGTCTAAATTTCGAGAAGACTTCAACCCGTCCCCGCCAAAGAAGCGGCTGACACCTTCATCATCGATCGCCAAGTTTCTGAACCCAAAGCGGCTCAGTTTGCGTAGTCAGAGCGAGGCGAACCTGCAGCCAAATTGTACTATCATGTCCACGGACGGTCCTATCGACACATTGCTTGTTCCTCTCGATAGAGAACACCGGCAATCACATCCGTTGATTAGCTTACAGGCTAAACATGAGGTTCTGGGAAGGAGCAAAGGTGCAAATCAAGTATGGGATCGTGCTATGCAAGCGCATCAAGAGGAGAAAGCCTCCATGTTCCTTCAAAGAGATAGGGATCTTACACTGCCTCACAGCCTCTTTCGCGAGCGTAGTGGAAGCGTCAACGCCCGGCATAATAGCGTCATGGAGGACTTGGACCCTTCTTTCTCAGTCCCTGGTGGGACTGAACAATCTTGCAGACCTTTGTTTCCACCAGGTCCGGGATGTGGCCAGAATCCCGGATTACCTCCCGTTTCCATGCTTCGCCGCCGCGCCATAGAGGGGAGAGAAGACGTGGAATCAGAGCACATTGTGTCGGCCGCATTCGAAGGGCAGGGTGATGCCACTGAGGTGGTAGGTGCATGGGGGCGTTATCCATCGCATACACGCCATGACCGTACCTTCTCTGCAGGTAGAATGGATCGTGTCGAGACTCGTGATTTTGCGTTGGAGGCTGCCATCAGATTTGCATCAGCGAGGAATGAGACCCACGACGACGATCTCATCGATCCTACTGAATGCTTGCCTTCGCCCGTGTTACTCCCCGGCGAAAAGAGGAAGAAGACGAAGAAGAAGGTCGGTAGCGGCCGAATGGCAAAAAGTAACTCCATGACCTTCGGTAAAGCGTTGATGAAGAATTACACAAAGATGTTTCGAAGTCAAAGTACAGAGTTCCGCCGGCATGGCAGGGGCCATCGCAGCTCCGTTGCATCGGGTGGCATCCTGGAATTTCCCGAATTGGAGCTTGTCCCCGACGTATGGACCGGCACGGAGAATCCGGGTGAGGTTAGCAATCATGTCAGATGCGGCAATCTCCTAGCAGGAGACTCCATGGCGACGCTGCGCCCACGTCGCAATTCCTCTGCACCGAATCTCAACGAACTTTCCTTTCGCGACGGGGCTGATGACTTGGAGCATGCCCAAGATCAAGCACGGGTTTGGTCAGTCTACTATGACGATTGTATACCCTCATTTCCTCGTGCAAGTTTCGAAGCTGACCCTGGTTCCACAAATCTCGGTCTGGCGATGCGAAGAAGCATAGACGACAGACGGGTAACCAGGCATTCGACCCCTTTCACTTCCCAAGGCCTCGGGCATTCTCGCCAACCAAGCCAATGGAGTCATAGGAGTACTTGCAGCCTTCAAAATGTACGACCAAGCTTTAGATCGACTGATAATCATGTTGGAGCGAGAGACGATAACACGAGTATGGCTAGTGTGAGAACGAGTACGATCGACCTTATCTCCAAGTTCAAGGAGGAAGAGGCCTTAGAGCACGACCGTGTGCTTTCACTTACAAGATCAGACTCACTTCGGGAATTCTATAGCCTTAGCATGCTATAAAAACATAGAATACAGGTTCTTTTAAGGGGCACTTTAGCCTATATATAAATACATACAAATATTAATATAACAAGTGCAAGCCCTTGTTCTAGTTTGTATTAGACTAGCTAAGATATTGCAAGCCTGAATATAGCTCTAACTCTAGTCTAAGGCCCCTCCCCTACTACCTCTAGATATACAAGGAGCCTTATACTTATAGATAGATAGATAAATTCTTCTTATCCTTTTATACAAGACCTATAGGTATAGGAATTATAACCTTTTCTATATAGACGCGCACTCTTATATACCCTTAAGTTATATTAGATCCCTTATAGATGCTCCTACCTACCTATATTCTTATATTATAAGAAGAACTTTATCCCTACTAGTAATAGCTTCTAAAGAATATTATATTATTATTTGTAGTTTTTATAACTAATTTAGTTTAGTTTATACCCTAACCTCTATATCTATAGTTAGAACTCTACTAGAACTCCTAATAACTAAAGCCTATAGGTTTAGAACTTCTATATAATTAGTTAGACTATATTTAGAGTAACTTTAGAAAAGTTATATTAGATTACGCTAAGGTAGAAACTTAGAGACTACTAATAACCTAGTAGTTATAATAATATAGGTAGGTAGGGCACCTAAAAGGTATCCTATATAACTTAAAGGCATATAGGAGTGCGCGTCTATATAGAAAAGGATAAGATTCCTACACCTATAGGTCTTGTACAAAAGGACAAGAAGAACATGCCTATCCTAATTATAGGCGAGCTGCTCTCTATATATATTAGTAAGTTAGGCCTTTATTAGGCCTAACCTAGTATAGAATAATAGGTAAGCAATTCTACCTTATTATTACACTACCCCCTCCTATAGAGAAAGGATAGTCCCTATCCTTATAACTATGTTTAGATCCCTTATTAAAGAAAAGCTCTTGCAAAATAATTCTACCTTTACCTCTACCTTTACCTTTACTTCTAGCTTCCTAGGGCACAGACCCCTATCTATAGCCTAACTATATCTAGCCCTCTACCTACTAACTTTCTTACTCCTATATCCCTAATTTTTTAAAACTTTTAACCTATCCTATCTAAAATCTAGTAGGTATTTAATCTATATAATTAAGTAATTACTAATCTAAATTAGAACTATTTACTATACTAGTACTAGTACTACTAGGAGTTCTACTAGTAGCTTATCGCGCTCTCTATATAAGAGCTATTAGGGCTATAGCTAGGGGCAAGTTTAATAATTTTAACTTTAAGTCTAAGAATTCTAAGAAATACTAGTACTATATTTCTTAGAATAAGTACTATAATCTAGTTAGTATCTAAGTCTAATAGGGTTTCTTTTATAATTATAATAGATTCCTTCCTATATTAGTTATAAGTACTCTACCCTTAGACGTGCTCTTAATAAATGCTATAGTCTATTTATAAACCCTTATAAAGAGTATAAGGAAGAGGAAACTCTAGAGGCCTTTTAGTTAGATATTAAGTAATATATAGCTACTATTTAAGAAGCTGCCTAAAACCTAGCTAAATATATTACTATTACTAACTCTTAGACTAAGGGTATAGAGGCTATAGAGATCCTAATAACTACCTACTACACTGCCTTATCTAAATCAGGTAGGCTTTATAATAGTATCTTTAAGATAGTATTAGTAGTTAAAGGTATAACGCGGGCTATTAATAAACTTAAGGAGGAAATAGTAGCAAATTAGGAGGCAACCTAGATAGCTTTAGCTTTGCTAGAAAAGACTATTAAGAAGACGTCTAAATCTGCTCTAGCTCCTGTCCCTACTCTAAAACTAGCTGCGCGAGTTACTAAAAAGCTAGCTAAAGAATCTAGTATAGGCAGGATTAAAGTTAATTTAGATTCTAACCTAGGTTCTAATAGATTAATAGACACTAAATAAAAGGGGGTTCCTAGGGGTAGTGTCCTAGGAACCTTAAGAGTTCTAAGATAGGTGTGAATAGGATAAGATAATAAATAATCGCAAGAATAGTAGTAATAGATAGTAGTTAATAGCTTAATCTATATCTAAATATAATATAAATTAGGTACTATATTAGATACACTTATTATAAAGTAATATTAGATCCTCTTTGTAAAGGGCTTAGGCTTATGCCCAAGCCTGGGTCTAACATAAGACGGACCAAGTCTAACACCACTACTAAGCGAACACACTAGACACCTATAAAAAGGCGTAGAGGGCTTACCTCTCCTTTTAAGATACTAAATACTATTATTAACGCTTATTGTATTCTCCCTTAAGGCTAGTCTATAGTATTTTAGTATCTTCTTCTAAATATACTATAATAGTAATAAGAGATAGACACGCTAGATATTTAGAATAATTAGGTGCAACCTAATATAGTAGAAAGGCTAATATAGTAGGTCTATAGATTAATAGAATAATAGGCTTAAGACTCTGCTATAATAGCTATACTATATTAATAGAACAAGGAAATACGTAATTAGATTCTATCCTAACCCTCCTCTAAGCCTGCTAGGTTTAATAATCTACTACCTCTACCCCCTTCTACCTTATAATATAAACCTTTCCTAGTTAGCTTGCTATATAATAGTACTAAGGTAAACTTTTCCTCCTAGTAAATAACTATAGAATTTAAACTGCGTGTAGATAAGGGCTTTATTAGGGATAAGGAGGTAAGGTTTATATATATTTAGTCCTAGCTATTACCTATAGTCTAGTGCGCTATAGCACTATACTTTAAGGATAGTGCACGTAAGTATTAGGATATAAGCAGGTTTCTTAACTACCTAGCGTTCTATTATAGCGACTATTATAGGCAGGAGCGCGCCTAAGTTATGTTAGAATACTTATATTAGGGCTAAAATTAGCCTTTTATAGAGTTCTTTATAAATTTTATATAGCTTCTTATATAGTTAGGAGGTTTATACTAGAATAATAAATAGAAGCTTTTATAACTTTAGTAATCTCTTAATAGCTATATATACTTAGTTTCCCTTAATAGGGGAGTCTCTAGGATAAACTATAATATAGCTATAGAGGAATATAAGATAATTATAGTATATATTAAAATAGCCTCTCTAGAACTAGGTTTTCTTTAGGCTAGTAAGTCTAAGGAACCCTAGTAGAAGTCTACCTTAGATTAGGATAGTAATATAAATATAGTAGAAGTGGCAGCCTTATTAAGTATACCTACTAAACTACTAATATTATATCCTAACTAGATCCTATAGGACCTATTTAATATATAGAAACTAGCAAAGGTCTATACCTAGTATAGATAGGGTAGTTATTTTATACGTGTATATCCTAATACCCTATTACTATAACTAGTAGGTGTTAAGATAGTTGTAGTATTAGCAAGCGGCCCTAATTTAGGAAACTAGCCACCCCTAACCCTAGGCTAATTTAGGGGTATAAGGAGGACACTATAATAGAGGAATTATTAATAGTAGAGTCTATTAAGTGTCCCCTAGATATTAAGGTGGGGTTAAATAATCCTTCTTTCTTTATTCCCCTCCTCCTAGGTAGAGTAGAGAACGTGCAAGCGATAGTTAATTTAGGGTGCTAGTATTTTAGTGCAGTTAAGGAAAAGTTAGCAAGATAGATTAGTAGGACCTTTATTAACATTCCCCCGCAACCCTTATAACATGCCTAGGGAATTACTAAGGGTATAAGAATTGCATAGTTAGTAGTATTAGACTATAATTTAGATAGTTAGTAGTCTTAGCTTTTAGCTTATATAGTACCTTATCTTTCCTATTAACTAATACTAGGCAGACTATAGCTTTGTAGAGAGGGCGTTATTATAGATATTCTATAAGGCGAATTAATAATTAGGAAGGTAGGAAATATAGTAGTATAAGAGAGCGGGAGACGCCTGTATCCTACCTGTATCTCTATTATCTTAGGTTTAGTTATAGCAGGGTTGCTAAATTAAGAATCCTAATAGGAAGATATATAGGTATAAATTTTTATAATAAATATACTAGATATTTTATAGGTAATATATAACTTACGCCTAATAAAATATCTAGGAAGTGTTAATAAGGGAAGTCCTATTAATATACACACTATCTATATTACTAATAATATAGTTCCCTATAAACCTAAGTATAAAACTAGAAAGATAAAGTTGCTACTAGAACTATAAGAGTTTAAGGACCTGTTTAATAAGGAGTTAGCAAGTAGTTTGCTACCTTATTAAGGTAGTATAGATTACTATATTTAGTTAATAACTCTCCTAGATAGAACCTAGCCTAACCCCTTATAGGGTCCCTTATACCCTATATCTTATAATTAATTACTAGAACTAAGAACATAACTTACTAGATTAATAGACAAGGGCTAGATCTAAGCAAGCTCTTCTATAGCTAGAGCTCTAGTATTGCTAGTAAAGAAGCTATTAGGTAGTTAGCGTCTTTATATAGATTACTAGATACTTAATAGTATAATAATATTAGACTAATATCTACTACTACTTATTAAGGAAACTTTGCGTATACTATCTAGCGTAAATTAGTTTATAAAAGTAGATATTTACGCTGCCTTTTATAAAGTTAGAATAGTACAAGGTTATAAGTCCTTAATAGCTTTCTATACCTAGTTTAGGTTATATAAATAGTTAGTATATCTATTTAGTCTTAGTAGTGCGCTATCTACTTTCTAATAATATATTAATACTGCGCTTATAGAGTTACTTAGATTATATATAATAGCCTACCTTAATAATATCCTAATTTATTTAGGAGGAGACTAGTTTAACTATATAGAAAAAGTAAAGCATATACTTATACTATTAAAAGAAGCAGGACTACACCTAGACTTAGAGAAGTGTATATTTAGTGTTAAGGAGGTACGCTACCTAGGCTATATTATTAAGGTAGGCAAATTACTTAGACCTAACCCTAAAAAGCTTAGGGCAGTATAGGAATAGGAATCCCCTAGGAATATAAGAGAGGTAAGGAGTTTTCTAGGTTTTACTAACTTCTACCGCGATTTTATTATA